TGATCTGCTCATGTCCCTTCCGACCCTAGAAACTATGAAGAGGGCAAACTTCCGCCCTTAGGACAACACATCTCTTAGCCCTGGGTACCTTAGGCCCTTGGATCATCACCATTCTTCTAGGCAGCAAAGTAAGTAACACCTAGTCTCAGGTAGCTCGCTTGGGCTCCTTTCCTTGGCAGTTGCTAGAGATAAAGTGTGTTCCTTCTAGCTCCAGCCCTAGGCTTATATATCCCTCAGGGCCCTGCCTCCTCCTGGTCAACTGACCACCAGCAGGTGAGGGCCAATTACCTTATTAGGCCATTTCTTAGGCAACCTACATCTGTGGAGCTCTGCCTAGCCTTCTGAGCAGCCTGACCAGGCTTCTTCTGCCCTTTAAAGTAGCAGGCACATCTTGGTACCCTGCTATACTGAGATAAGCAGCTACTTCCCCCAGCCCTGAGGTCCCCAGTTGAGGGCAGGAGTAGCTTTCACTGGTGGGAAACTGCATAAGAACTGCCTCCTCACTACTGCCACTTCTACTGGCCTCCCATCACTCTCACTTCTGAGATGCAGTGCAGCTCCCCACTGCCTAGAAGCTCTTTCCATGACATAGCTAGCGATTAAGGGGTTGGGTGAAGGGGTGCAAGAGAAATTTCCAGGTGTCCAGACCTAGTGCAGATCTTTGCTGCCTGGACCCAACTCAGGGACAGTGTGGGCACAAGCTCAGCAGTAGCAAAGCTGGCTCTGTTAGTTGAATTTGGTCTGTGGGCTGACTTCTCTAGTAAAGGATCACAAGGTGCTATTTTACCCTTAAGATTGGTTTCAGTGACAGAGAATCACCAGGTATCCTGCTATCCTGAACCAGCACAAGGAATCAGGGATTGCTGGAACAGTGCTACAACAGATGCCTAAGGGCACTGACAGAAGTGATGTTTTGTTGTGTGAATGGCCCCATGAAGTGCTCTACAGTTGTGTCCTGACAGAAATGCTTCAGAGCATTTTAAAAGTGCCTAATCCTATGACAATCTGAACCCTCGTTACATAAAGGTTCAGATGAAGGCACTCCAAAGAGAAGCATCTTTATTAACCTCTGACAGTACAACCCTGGTACTGTCTTTAGAAGGAGAGGGGGAGAAAGAAGGGGAGGGAGTTCCATCTGGGGATGCCCAACCTGCTCTGGAAGATGGGGTGGGTGGATTGGAGTCCCCCAACCTCTAGGGTGTTCCAAACCACCTGCCCCACCCTCATGAATGACTTATGCCCCAGGTGGCTCGGGGGAATAGTGGCTGCATGAGCGAAGTGGCAGCAGTGGGAGAGGCAGGAGCACGGGAGCGGGAAGTGGAAGAGTTCCCACAGACACTGCCGGTGCTGTCAATGGTGGGCAGAGGTAGGACTGAGAGCTGACCAAGGGTTGGTGACTACCCACAGTCACTGCAGGGAGCATCAGTGGTGAACAGCGGGGGTTGCAGACTGCCCACAGACACTGCCAGTGGTGTTGGCAGCAGGGTGGCAAGCAGCGACCACCCACAGGCACTGCTGACAGGCTTTTTGTAGGGGGTGCACTGCCACATGCAGGGGGTGCACATGAGCCCGCATGCACCCCCTATGTGTCGTCCCTGCCCAGTCTCCAGCACAGGTTGGGCAAACCCCAAACCAATCTCTCTCGCTTCTCTTCTTCCCCTCTCATCCTGAAGACAGCATTGGACTGGGGGCTGAGACTAGGGCAGAGAGGCTGAAGACACATCCGCTGAAAACTGAAGCTCAGTTTCCCAACTCCCAGTAAATGTCTGTTGGGTTGCGAGGGATTGCTGTAATTTATGACATTTCATGTGAAGTGCCATGAGTTATAGTGGGGAGCTGCACATTAGGGCTGTGAAAAACAGCACGGTTTTGTTTTGTCTTCCATTTCACCATTTTGATGGGACAGTGTTTTGTTCTGAGTTTTGTTTTGTTTTGAAGCACTGTTCTGTTTCATTTCATTGAAACTGTTTTGCTGTTTCAATGTTGTTTCAATGGTTTGCCCATAGGCTATAATGGGGCAGCACAAAACTGCCTATAACTTTGTCATTTTTTGGCAGATTTGGATGAAAACAGCAGGGATGGTATCCCCTACTGAGGGCATGAAGTTTGTCAAGCTTCAAGGAGATAGGTGCTGGGTTTTCAGGGATATTGTACCTCAAATTCTTGAAAGCAAAACTTGTTTCACTTGTAAGTGGCAAGGCACAAGGGGATGACAACAGCAGGCATGGTAGTCCCTGCTGAGGCCATTAAGCCTCCCAGCTTTCAAGAAGATAGGTGCAGGGGTCTCTGGGAAACTGCACCTCAAGCTGCTGACAAGCAAAACTCATGACATGTCACTGTGTGTGTGTGTGTTAAGGCATGCTCTCACTGGCACTGGGGCCTCTACATGACACGGTAGTGTGCCCCAATGAGGCTTTCTCCTGTCCTACAGCCTCAGCCCAGTCCAGCACTTTAAATAACAACATGTCAAAAAATAACTTAGTGAGCAGCAGCACAGCAGCACCATTAGCACCTCAGGCAGCCAAACTTTAAAAGCCCTTCTTTCCTCTTCTGTAGGAGCTCCTTCTCCAGAGTATGTGTTAAGGCATGCCCTCACTGTGTCCTTCCCCCCTTCCCCCTCCCTCTCCTTACTTTTTGATTCCTTGCAGGAAAGCCCAGCTTCAGCTTGAAAATTCAAAACATTTTGAAAGTTTCAAAATGTATTGACTGCCCTTGTTTCATTTTGAGGCTGTTTCGAAGACCTTCATTTTGTTTCGATTTCACTGTTTCAAGCTCGAAATCAATCAAAACAGCATCAAAATGAAACAGCCAGTGAAATTTTTCACAGCCCTACTGCACATCTGTCAGAGCCCTAAAAGAAATGTAGGCATGATTCCTTAGGAATAATGCAGAGACTGGGAGGTTGTGGGCTGTTCGTGTAGTTCTGAGAAAGCGTAGAAATTCACGTAACATGCTTGAAAATGGATTGATTCCTACCACAATGATGTAGAAGCTTGATAAATTAAAGGAATTGTTGCTCTTAATGTGTAAGATCTTTACCTTCATGTTTAGGTTCTCACTGTTGCATTCTTTGCTGATAATAAATTTCAGATGAAGGCAGGAAGAATTTTGTGTGTGCAAAGAATGCTTGCACAGATTTTAAGCCCTGCCTTCTCCTGCTTCCATTGTAATTTCTCAAAAAAAGAAAGAAAAAAGACAACAATAAAAAACCTTTAAAAAACCCCACTGAACTATTTGTGACGGCCAGAACCAGAAGGTTTAATAAGCAATAAATATGTGCTTCTTAGAGGCCTTTGGTATTTTGCCTAAACGGGTAATATTAGTTAATATAAAGCTTGTAAGTTTGTAAACCGCAAATGTAACTTGTCTGTCATAAGTTTAATCAAACTGATTAAATTAACTTCGTGGAACTGACTGGGCCCCATACGCAAAGCTGTAGATGTGAGATTCGCTGACCTAACTGTTTCTGCTCAGGGTTAAGCTTTGACGAAAAAAAATGGATCTAACTGCTTGGCACACCGAACACATTCCAGGAAAGCACATCCCAAGAAAGCATATTCAAATGAAACCTAAAAGGGATTGGGACTTAGGCAGATGAATGTCAATTTCAGACCTAAAGGTGCTGCATTATAATTTGCTTACTGGATAAACCCGAGTCTGGGTAGTAACCTTTTATGATAATTTTAACACTTTTCAATCCCATAGGGTAACAGCTATAGGGCAACATTATGAGTGGCTCTAAAGCCAACAGATTAGCATAAGACTAGGTATAAAAAGCATGTGCATCAGGTAACCAGCAGGAAGGAGGGAACAGAATGGTCATTTTTGTTCCATGCTCAGACCCCGGACTCCTGGTGTGAGTGAGGATTGGCTCCTGATCAAGGGACCTTCCCTGGTAATCCTTCTGACAGCATCAATCGGGGACGTCCGACTTTGCTGGAATCACTTGACTTGCACCTGGCATTGAGGGACTATCAATAAGTTGCCAACCCATGTCTGTCTATCTGTTGTTTTGAACAGCCAAGTGGCTAATACCTTTGCAGTGCTCATTTGGCTTGCGACAGAATTGATCTATCTATCTGTTGTTATTATCTGTTATTTACTATTAGCTCTTTAATACTGAATTATCTACTTATCGCATTTATCTTTCTGTTAAATGTTGTGTGTGTAAGCTATAATAAATTTGCATTCACTTCACTCCCAACTTTGCCTCCTCAATCTGAAACTGAATCAAACAGCCCAGTTGGCCTGTGATAAAATTGATACACTCACAATGCCCAGCTGGCCTGTGACAACTATTACTTTCCTTATTTTGTGGGGGGTGGTCATTTGCCTTTATATAATCCATAAGGGGAAGTTTACATTATCCAGTTGACTTCCAGCATGTGTATTTTTAGATACATGCAGGATTGTCAATGAGAATGGCTTTTTCTATGTAAAACATGTTATTTGCTATTTTGCTTAGTAAATGTAAACATCTTTTTTACTTCTGTTCTCTAAATATATATGTTTAGATGGAATGCAGCGTTTTCCTTATATCTTAAATTTAGTCTGGAAATAAGATAAAAACACAATACAAACATTGCTTTTTCACCCCTTTCCCCCCCAAATATGCAATGTATTACTGCAATCAGATATTTCAGTCACTCTAAATTAGCCTCAGAAAGAATGAAAATTGCTCGTTCAGACACAAGAGATTTCAGAGTTCTTATTAAAGTAATTTTAGTGACTGTATAAAAAATTTTCAGTACTCATCACTAGCTCACATACAACCTTGGATATTATGGGAGAGGCCAAGAGGAGGAGAACAGAATATGATTATATTAGTCTTGACTTTGAATTTATCTCTTTTTTTTCTTCCGGTGCCACAGTATCATTTACATCTCTTCTGACAGCCATTGGGATTGGGCTGAAATGGCCTTCATGAAATTTGCGATCTGAAAAATGAGGATGATGCTGATACCTTGCAGACTAGATACTCCAACTGATACAATCATATAATAATGACTCAGTATATAGAAATAATATATGTATGTACATCCATTACTTTACAGCATACAGAAATTAAGGTAATTGAGTGGCTGTTCAGACTAAACAGGATATTTGGAATCTTTACAGGACTCTCCTAGATATGCTCCACACTATATGATTTTATACTACGGAGTTCATCTTGTAATATGTTGCCTCTTATCTGCACCCCACATAAAGCCTTTCTGCAGAATGAATGCCTGCTGCCTAGCAGAAAAATTGATGATGCCTGTTCTGGATAGTTGCAACCAGCGGGGTGCTGCTGCTGAATACTGAGTCATCAGTTTCCCTGCTATGCTACATAGCAGCTGTTCCATTCACTCTGTGCAAAACATTCTTTCCAGATGGTATGGGGTGGGGAGTGGAGGGGGGGGGGGGAAGGGGGG